CATAGGTTGCGCTGGCTTGGCCACGTGTTGCGTATGCCAGTCGACTGACTTCCTCGAAGGTCTCTTTTCACACAACCACGTGAAGGGTGGAAGAGTGTCAGAGGCGGTCAACCAATGACTTGGCAGCGAAGTATGAAAGCCATTACCAGGAAACTTAGCTGCGCTGGTCATTGCCGTCTTCCTGGATGGCGAACCCGAGACGGGCCACATCAATGGCTAGAGATATTGTCAGATACGGCCCAGTCGCGCCATCAATGGCGCTCGTGCATCCAAGCTATTGCCTTCGATGCATAGCTCCTTTCCCAATCCCCCTACGTGACAGCCCACTGACAGTGCTGGATCTAACCCCAATTTATCAACTCCCGCCTGCGGCGCGCAGCTACCTACCCCCCTCCAAACCATCGGTGAACGAAACTGCGGCAGCTACAACCACTGTACGACGAATACGCGGTTATCACAGCTGACAATGATGAATGATGATGATGATAAGTGCTGCAACTGCTCTATTCCCTCCGTTTCGCATCAGAAACTACGCCTTGCACTGACAAAATATAAGGTGTTGCCTCTCGACAGCCAGCTGCTGAACACGCCACTTAAAATCCAAGGAGAGTCATTCGAGGTAATGAAGCGTCTTACGTACCTTGGGAGTTGTATTAGCTTGGTTGTAGGGACAGATATGGTCAGTAACCAAATCCGTACGGATCAGGTCGCGGCAAGCCACTTAAAAAGGAGAGTCATTCGAGGTAATGAAGCGTCTTACGTACCTTGGGAGTTGTATTAGCTTGGTTGTAGGGACAGATATGGTCAGTAACCAAATCCGTACGGATCAGGTCGCGGCAAAGCGGGACATCTCTGAGCATCAACGGACATGTTTCAGACCACGATACGGGCATGGGTGAGATGTGGCACCTGTGAGCAGCCGAAATGAGACGTCTCCAGGGCTTTGACAGCCATCACCCCAGAATGATAGTTCAAGTAGGCCAACATAGCACAATCCGCAAGATGACAATTAGGAAACGGGTGTCCGTTGTGCAACGGCAACTTAACTCGGTGAACATGTCTAGTATCGAACGCTCCGGGGTTCCGGTCAGGTATTGCGCACGCAGGGGAAAATGCAGTTCCCCAAATCCGATTTAGAGTGACGGAAGGGGCGGTAGTCAAACTTCCACCTAGCATAAGGACATGAAAGTTGGGCTGCTGTAGGTGCGATCAGGCTCCTAGAATGGAGTTCACGTCATCCTCCCTCAACATGGATGGAGACGCTGTAATATATGGCTGTTACTTGGTGTCAGTGACGTTCCATGATCCTGTTTCCATCCAAATTGCTTGAATAAGCGCCCAAAGGTGAAGGCGCCTGAAAATGATTGCAGCAAGCTAGCATTAGACCCATTCTCGAATCGGTTTTATCCCATTATTCAAAGTAAGGCTTTTACACAAACCAAGGTTGTACGGCAAAGAATCATCAATGCCAAATACTGGTGTTATACCGTCGATGATTAATAATCGGCCACTCTGAGCAGACATCCACACAAGTTTAGTTTTCTGTCCACCGGTTCACTTGCAACCAGCCTTCGTCGTCAGCGTCAATACACCTACGTAGCTCTCTAGCCGTATCAACTCCACATTGGAATCCACCGATGTAGATGAACGTTCTCGTCTCTGACCATACTGAGAACTTTGTCAGCAAGTTATCATAAAAACACAAGTACCCAAAAGACAAACAGAATGTAGGCTTACGTGAAGTAAGGGCAGCTCAACAACCTCCCGCAATCTCTCTATTTGTTCTTTACACCCTCCCACATCACTGTAGGTGACGTCGGGTTTGTCTTCCACCTGCATCATTGTAACGCTGGGGTCGATTTTCGGTGGCAAAGGAATGTGTATTTGGTATTTCGTCCTATCCACACCAACACGCATGCCCTCTTCAATATCAGTAGGGGCGACAGTATCGGCTAAATCGACCACGAACTTGGCAAACTGCTTTACGTTGATTATGTACTTTGGCTCTTCGGAATCGGCGTTGATTATTTTGGTACAGCGGGCAACCTGAAGAGGATGTTCATCTGAAGAAATAGAATTATGTTCCAATCAACTCACTGGTCAACACATTCTTATCGGCCGCCAGATCCCAAAGAGCTGGAGGAGCTAGACCTGTGTCTGATTCCTTGAGACCTGTAAATTCAGCGTTATGCAAAATTCCTAGAAGTACCAGTCAATTCGTTAACACGTTTCATGTATGTTTGTATGTCTTCTTCACACTGTTTTATCTCTTTGCTATATGACGCAGCACCCTATGTAATAAATACTACCACAGAGCACTTACATAAGTTTTCAGTAGGGCGATATCTCCTTCATCGAGAGCTTCAGCCATAACAGAAACCAGGTAAAATGTGTTTACCTTTGATGTCCTTCTCTTCGTCTTTCTTTTCCTTCACTTTTCTCTGGTCGGATCCCAGATAATCAGGCATTGCAAAATGATTCGTCAGGAAGATGCTAATTCACCGCTAGAATTCAAACTTCGCGCATTTTCGGGGCGTGTAATAAACACATCATGCTCACGGATTCTGCAACTCGTGAATAGGTTTGAGGCATTTTCCCAAGCATATGTGGGTGTGTATATTCTTGCCGTTCGCTGGATCCCTTCTTTTGAAGGGCACAAGTTCGCTAAGTGTGCGACTAGTCAACAGGCAGAATACTGGGGGGCTAGAATTGTAGGTTGCTACTTCCGCGCGGATGTTCAAGTGTTGCAAAAGACAATAAGGAGGCCAGCGTTCTCACACCGTTTCTTCTAGTGAGTATGAAGGAGGGAAAGTCTTGTGGCAGAGACCAGCAGGCACAATGTAGTCTCTGACCCGTGTCTGGAAGTGAAATGTGGGTAAGTATACTGAGCCCCATCGGGAGTGTGACGTGGGAATATGCGGGTACGAAAGTAATGGAACACATTAGGAACACACCGTTTTTTCGGTACGTTCAAAATGGCTACGCTGTGTCGGCTTCTGGTTGTTTCCTTTCATTTTATTCAAGATCAAAATTCGGGTTGACTGCTTATCTTGCGCATAGTTCGGCCTAACAGCAGCGTATCGCCTAAGTAGACGGTGGCACAATCAACTCACGATACTCACGCCAAGATTTTGAGTGTTCAAGCCTTTGGTGTATCAATCTCGACCACTCCTGAAGGCACTTGTTTAGTACCTCATCGCTCGGAATGGTCGAAATGCCCCCACAGAATGCTGGGAACAGGGGTTTCACGAGACTTGGAAAAAAGCTGAAAAGCGTAGCAGCTGCTTGCTTAAGGGTTAGCTATATCAGGCTGAAAGTCCCGCAACTTAAAATGCTCAGAACCGGGTTAGAACTGCGCTTGTGCGCTTCCCTTCACAACCAAAGTCCACGTTACTTCAAGGCCTAGAACAGCCGAACACCCATAGACCAACTCTGGAAGTCGCCACGATAGGACCGTGAGGAGCTGGTGACATAGTTGCTCACCGATCCTGACTTTGAGACCCCAGTGTCTTTTAAGGAAATAAACATTAAAATCAATAACAACTGGCGGAAGGTAAGCCCTGAACACCGCCCAACGCAAGGGTAGTTTCGCTGTCCCCACACTCTGTCACCAGCAAGTCAGTGGATCAGTTCAACTCCCTTACAAGAGTCTCGAGCGTGAGACACCCCCCAGCTGAGCCCCGCTAACGGGTGCTTCTGGGCAACTTTCTCGTAGTTACCACATCGAAGGAGCAGAGATACTCTATGCCTCGAACTATTTTTCTGCAAGACAATCATATCGGCCTTGAGCATCCTCGATCGCAGAATACAAAATGTCCACCGTTGTTCGCTTGCTCTTCTAACCCTAACAACCCGCTTTCTGTGTTCTGAAGTGAGAACTGGATATCCGGGGGTAATTCGGGTATTTAGTGGCAAGCCTCCTGAGGACCGAGGGCCACCTGATGTGCCGACCGTTAAAAAAATTAATCCAAACAAAGAAACAAATAGGTAAAATCCACTCCATCGCCCAGATTTTATCCCAGCACCCTAGCGGCTCTGAACAATCTTTATGACAACCACCAAGCGAACGTGCTTTACCGTCTCAAGCCAACTAAAAAAATCATGTTGATGCAAGACTCGGCGTGCCAAAAGTAGATAGTACAATTGAAAATGGCATCATGTTCTCTGATGTGCCAGCAGAGTTTGATACGGTTATGATCGACCTTCCTGAATCACTTTGAAAAATATACCAGCCAATCATGCCATAGCCGTGAGTTTCAGGTGAAGCCTATGAGTGTTTGGTGACCGACATATGTCAGGGGTGTCACTCCAAAATAATGTATGGAAAGAAAATCTACCGCACCTCAAAACTGCTAGTATCCGACAGCCAGGCCAGTGAGTTGAAAGCACGAAAGTCAGCAGTGATCATTTCGCCCGACAGCTTCAAAATGAATATGGATTCTGAAGGCCGCTGAGAGCAAAGGTACAAAAATTATGGAGTCCAGGTTGAAGCAAAACTGGCATCAGGGTGACGTCAAACCTTACGAATCGTCCTCTGGGCAATGACTGAACGTGGTGATGACTGTACACCTGTCTCCGTTGTGGCCTCTGGGCGGCCAGCCAGCAACAAAGGAAAGACTGAAAATCCGCCAAACTACCTGGAGTCTCCAAATCAGACACAAAGTAGCACCTGAGCGCAGTCAGAGAATGTCGGAATGCGAACTACAAAACGCTGGAAGCCTCTAATACCTGTGTGGTCGAATCGCTCCATGGGCCTCCGCACACAGATATCGAGTACGCATAAGACATAACTTTTCTGGGACCTGCCCCCGTGGCAATGCATACAATATTAAATAAATAATTAAATAATTAAATTAATTTGTCAATTAGTTAATTTAATTAATACAATAATACATATATTATATAATATATGAATATAATATAATAATTATTATTAATAAGTTAATTAAATTAAATTAAAATTAAATAAAATAAATTAAATTAAATAAATCAAATAAATAATTCTGCCTCGTGGTTCGGCATGCGCTTCACACCTGCAAAGTGTAAAGTGCTACTGCAAAATTGGGTGGGCTCGAACCCTAGCCTCATGTTTGCGGATGAACCGATTGAGGTAGTAGACAAATTTGTTTACCTGCGCAACTGTATCAGTCCCAGTGGTTTCATGAAAGAGGAAATTTCCATCCGGATTTGCAAGGCCAGAGCAGCTTTTGCGAACCTACTTCACCTTTAGCGATTGCATCATATCAGCTTATGCGCCAAGATCTAGTTTACAATGCTGTTGTGCGCTACATATGCCGCGTCCTAGCCGCACACCCAAAATTTCTCTGAAACCGCAGTTCCAAAATCAAAAACTTTAACGTAATGTTTTAGCATTTGATGGAAATTATTCGGGCTCTTAAGATCTCCACACGTGACCGCAATTTCATTAGAGGTTGTCTAAACGAACTCGAAGTCCATTGTGGGCGTGGAATTTGTACTTTAATGGATGCCAGCGGCATAGAGTATTGTCTTGGTTAAAACGGTGGGAAATTTTGCGGAAAAACTCGTTTTCTCACATTTTTTCTTTCGTATTGGGGTCGGAAATAATCTCAAAACGACCTAGACAATAATCACGCCCACAGCGTCGGTGCAAACCCAAATTGGAGAGGCCAATCGCGATCTGGATATGTAAGATCCTTCTATAGTTGCGGCAAGCGTCCTGCCGAAGCCAAGGAATTCTTCACAGCTGGTAGGTCTTTTGTTTTTTGATGATGGTCAGCATACGTTAGATCCCGCTTAAGGGGACGTTTGACTTCACCGATATTTTCGAGCCATCAATATTGCCGTTGGGTGAGCTATTGGATTTGTGAGCAGAACAAGCAGACGGCACGATAATATGGCTACGGCTTTTAAGTCTTTGCATAAATTAAACGGACTTAAGCGGTCCTGTAGGTAACGCGCTTGTCTGGAAAATATTGGAGATATGGTAACTACGGGCAAGCCATCAGACTGGGTATGGTAGTCGCGGTAACGGCATCGCGACGTCTTACTTAGTTTCGTGGACGGCCCTGTACATGAACATCTTGGATAAGCCGTTTATGGTTGTCATTGTAGTTAGTATGTTCTTGGGTCTATCGAGGGTTCGTGTTGGTTTATTTCTGCCATTCAAGCGAGGTAATAAGACAGCCATGCCTATGTTTGGGAGTCAAAATAGGATAAATATCCGAAAGGTTTGCTAGAAAAGCAGCTCAGAGCTTGCAGAGACATGAGATCAGAGATATCTGGTGTTGCCGCGTGTTTGTACGGTGAGTTGACTTCAGAATGGAGCTGTTACAGCCTAAAGATTAGCGTGAAGCTATGAAAAAAACGGTTGCTTCTTAGGCGTCATATCATGTAAATGTGGTGAGTCTCTGTCAGCATCTCTTGCTCTTCTATCAGTGATGACGATAATTATGTTGTCATTTGGTGTACACTTTGTACCCAGAGTGTCATGTCATCATAATGACGCTTATTCCAACAGGTAGGTGACGTACCTTCAAGCATGGTCAGAAGAATACAGTCAGGATATAACGTGAGTTTGCTCGTAGTTACATGCAGTGGAACAAGTGGGGTGTAGTGTAAAGTCAAGGTAGGGGAGTGTGCATTTGCAGGTGTGCTATCAAACTGGGTATAGCAGTACCGTGTGACCATTGCACTGGAATACTTCGGTTTCTGGACAGCCCCTTAACGGACGTCATTTATGAGATGATTTAGCTTGGATGTGAATTCTGTGAGGAGGAGGATATTTTCGGTTGGCCGAAGAAATCCTCAGAGGTAGAACAAAGCTTATGTCAGATCGCAGTTATTTTTCTGATCTGGTTGGAATAGTGTGGTGCAGTGTTTTGCACAGATTCGAAGTTGTATTAGTCGTGATTGTGGTGTGAAAGATGAGGTCAATGCACGAACCTGCAATGCTCAGGTCGCCCTTGCTAATTTGAAACATCAATACCATCAAGGGGGATATCCGTGAATACCAGGTTTTGTGCGTATAAGGTCGCGAGTGTTTCGATTTTATGTCTGTGAGACCTGGCCCTATTCTAGAAGCGGAACCAAGGCGTTTTCAGGTGTTCAACAACGGTTGTCTCAAATTCATAGCCCGTGTGGGTCGTCGTCGACCAAAGGACAAAGGGACTTATTGAGCACTCGGTGATATAGCCACTACAACTTTGTTTAATTGTATCTTGAATCGGAAGATGTGTACGAGTCATAAATGGTTGTGCATTTTTTCAGAAACCCCGTCGACTAAAAGCTGAGAAGTAGACTGAGCACACATTGTGTTTGTACCGATGCAACCAATAAAGAAAAATATGATTTGTTAAAGGTGGTTGTTGATTTTTCACGCATGGTGTTGTGGCAGGGACATTATAGTCAGCTACGAGCATATGCACGGGCCTGGCAGTTACTAGAAGCAGCCTCGGCAGGTGACATCGAATATGGTTATGAGTATGACGGGCCATCGTTGCCCAATAAACTGGGCTACTGGTCATAGTTGAAGTCTCGATCTCACATGGACACAGGCCTTGCAATTACGATAAGCAGCCAAAGTAGGCGATGTCAACTGCAGTTACGAGCATGACGGACCGTCGTTGGCCGTCGGATTAAGATATTACGCATAGCTGGAACCCTGAAATTGATCGGTAAAGAGACTGGATTGCGGATTTAGCATTCAGGTGAAATCTGACTCGACCAAAATCTGGACCTAACAGCCAATCAGCTTCCAGTATCCACCGCAAGCCGGTTAGCAATGGCGCGCAAGAAAGGCGTACCGATTTTCTGGCGTTGCGTTGCATTGCGTTGCATTGCGTTGCGTTGCCTTAAATGGGTACTAGGTCCAACGTGAACAGCCTTCGAAGGAAGGTTAATACATGCGCCAACTATCCGGAACTAGAAAAATTGTTGTTCAAGAAGACCGGCACGCAGTCGGATGAACCGCAAGCTGCCAAAAAGGATTCGGCGACTTCTGGAAAAAAGATCCCAACTCTTTTTCAAAAAGTTGACC